AGAAAGACGAGACGGTCGGAAGCCATGGCCAATAGACCAAAGTCTGAAGTAAGTCCAAAGCCTCTGATACATAGAGAAGGAGGAAGGGCAAATGGTATAGGCAAGGAAAGATGATACACGAGGAGAGGCATGGGACCGGATAAAAGTCCCATTTGGAGTGTGGTAATGTTGGGATCAAAAATGTCCAACTGTAGTTGTTGGAGGAGTGATCAGGACAGGGGCTGTAGCTCCTGTAAGGGCCAGAGCAGAGGGAACCACGTCTGAGCTGGCCAATACAGAGCAACCAGCAGAAAACAAGGAGTGATCTGGATAAGGGAAAAGAACCAGGAGAGGAGTGTGATTGGAGGGTAAGCATATAGGTGAAGACTCCTTCAATTTGGACTGAAAACATACACCCTCAGAGCTGAGGAACGTGGAGGATGAACCAGATGAAAGGACTGGAAAAGGAGGGAAATAACCTCTTTTACTAAAAGCAAACTCTGTGAAGGTACACTTACTACATGAAAAGTTATAGTACAAAATTATAATAATTAAAAACAATGTTTAAAATGAAAATTTAGTGAAAAAAAAAGAAAAAAGTAGACCAAGGAAATATATAAATAATAATGAAGCAATGAAAAAAAGAGGTAAAAGTATAAAGTATGGCTTGTAAGTAACTCCTGAAGATGATGTAGATCACATCTAAACTAGTATTTGTAAAGTGTGGTTTTAAAGTGGAAGCCGTACAGATTCAATAAAGTTTTATTTGTGTAAAAAAATGTTTTTAAATATTTATTATAATTTTAAATATTACACAAGTGCCAGTAATTCATAAGTTATAGTATGTATAGTTTCATAGTTACATGGTAATTACAAAGTCAATCAAAATCACTGAGCCCATATGTGAAAAGTCAAACCCAATAATTAATGCTAAGGCTTCAGTCATTACAGAAGTCCCAAGTGCCAAAAAACAAAAGCCCAGATATAATAGGAAAATGTTTTACTTTTTATGTATTGTTATAAGAGTTACTAAAATGTAAAATTCATAACTTATTAAGACACATAACTCAAATGAAACAAAAATTAAATAAATACTCATGATAGCACATATTTTGTGCATGATACTGTAACTTGACATGCTGGTAACTTGATCATTTGTTTATACATAGCTGTCCTGCAGTGATAATAGCTTTCACTTATTATGAGAAGGTCTAAAGTAAAGCTATAAAGCAATGAAATTATTGAGTGGATATTTTGAAAAATATTAGCTTTGGCTATAAGAATAAAGTTAGTCTGTTATAATGTATAGTCATCTTAGAAAGAAAAAAGGGTAATTAATATTTTTTAACTTCTCTTTTTACCATACATGGCTGATTTAACTATTCTTAGTGTTAGAATAGTGAAATATAAAAGTTTTACTCAAAAGAAAAGCTTTTGACATCCATTTAGGAAGTTCTAGAGGCTATACAAATGAAATCTGAGAATCGTAAGAAGAGAAAAGAAGTATGTTTATTTTTAACATGAAAACCAAACTGCACTCAGATTTAATCAGTAAAGGCTTCATAAATTCTCATACAAATCTTTATTAAAAATGCTTAATTAAGGAACCTGATTTCTTGTGTACAAAAGACAAGTAATGTTTACTAAAAGCTTGCCAAACTCTGTGAAACATTAAAATTTATAGTATGTATAGTTTCAAAGTTACATGGTAATTACAAAGTCAATCAAAACGACTGAGCCCATATGTGAAAAGTTAAACCCACTAATTAATTACTCCATTTTTTTTTGCCGAGTTCTTTACAATGAGCATTAAACAGACAAAAATTCTCAATATGATGCAGTATTTAGATTTCATCAGTTTAAACAGTATAAAAAAGTCAGCATTACATAATTTTATGGCTAAAGAATTATAAAAAAATCCTTATAAAAGGGGAAAAGATAAAACTAATGAAAGTTACTCTTTGAAAATCTTGTTAATTTTTTTTAACAGAGGATTTATGGAATTACAATACAACATTTCTGAATGTTGATTCTAATATTAGAAAAGTGCATATAAATGTATTCTAATGAAATTTAATAACTGATAACAAAGATTATTGAAAACATAAAACTGGCAGAACAGGTTATGAGATTTAATTAAATTACATGTCGAAAGTATGAACATCTAAGATCCCCTGTGAAACTTCTTTCTCTACAATACTCATTTGTCAAACACTGAAGGAACAATTTTTCAGAACTGGTTAATTTGGTATAGGATATCATTATGTTCATAATGTGATATGTTGTTATGTTTGAATAATTTATCATTTTATTTGTGTTCTGAAAGCTCAATTAATGAAGAAAACATTTTGGATGCATTTCTTCTGTGTGCAATATCTTCAAATAAACTGGGCATACAGTTACATCAATGAACTATTTTTTCTTTGACTTATTTTTCAACTAGCCACTTAAAATGAATGAATGATATCATCTGTTGTTAATTTAATAAATATAAGAATGCTACATACACTCAAATCACTCATTTCATTGGTGTAATTACCCGATACCTTAAGTATCCAAACATATTTTTATTCAGGTATTACAAATAGTTTTCATTAAAGAAGTACACTTTATACAGAACATCCAATGGTAACAGTAAACACAATATATAACAAAAATATTATGGCAGTTTCACAATCATTTATCTTGTTGCATTAAAGTTCCCTTGGAAACTAACTTAAAATTACAAAAGACATTTAAAAACTTATCTTCAGTCATGTACTAGTTTTAAAATAAAGTTTAAATATCAAAATTAACAACAACAAAAATAATGTCAAGTCAGAATTGTAAAACATATTATTGATTAATGGCCAGCAAGTTTATATCCTTAAAGAAACTAGATTCTCTATCAATAAATGCTTTCATAACAATGTCCAATTTAATGCTTAGTGTTTCAAAATTTATTGATCTTATATATTCGAAATGTACTTACCTGTTAAAAATATACCAGTTTATTTTGACTTAACAGGTAATCTACTTCATATTCTTATAATATAAAAGTTAAATGAAAATAATTAAAATTGTGTGTTTTCTTATGGATTCACTATGGAGATTTCTTGCTTCATGAAAATGTTTAATCTGTTTGAGGATGTTGCTTGTTATCTGGATAATACAAAGGGGTGTGTGTGGGCTTGGTGAACTTAGATTCTCAAAATGCTTTTGCTAAGGTGCCAAATAGAAAATTAGTTAAAAAAACATCTCATCAGTAGAGGAGAGAAAAACCTGGTTTATTAGATTGAAGGGTGGCTAGGTGAAAGAAAGTAAAAAGTTTTTATTAATGGAGTCAAGTCAAACAAGACCATTGTTACTAGTGGTGTCTCAGGGTTTAGTGTCTGGCCTTTGGTTTTTTTTATTTACATTATTCCGACACTAATAGGGACGTAATTAGTAAATTTTGCTGATGATATTAAACTCTACTCATTTGTAGCTGTACTGAAAATGTTGAGATGCTACAGAATAACTTGGATCAATTGGTAAGTTGGACAAATAGATGGTGAATGACCTTTAATTACAGAAAGCAGAAGGCAATACATTTGGATTACCATAATTTTGATCACATGTTTAGTTTAGCTGTGAGCCTATTTAAAAGCATAAATGAAGAAAAGGATCTTAGTATATTTGTAGATAAATTAGTCACGCCATCAAGGCATGGCTCTATTGCTCATAGTAAAGCTAATAGAATTTTAGAATATATTTACAGATATATTGCTCACAACAGAAAATTACCTCTTTATAAAAAAAAAAAAAAAAAAAGCCATTACTTCATATAATGTAAGCAATTTTGGACTCCTCATTCAATCAAAAATATTGATCTATTGGAAAAGGGTTTAGAGAAGGGCTACTAAGATGGTTCTGGGAATGGGTTGAGATCTTTTCTTTTAGGAGTAGAAGGATAAGGGGTAATCTTTTTGAAGTTTATAAGATTATACAGGGGATCAATATGATAAAAGTCCTTGGTTTCTTTGTGCTGCATTTTGCAGACAATAGGATGATAAGACACAAGTTTAGCATAATTTACACACAGCAAGGAACAACTTGGTCCTTCAAAACTATTATTAAATACCAACCAGTGAGAAAATTAAAATTTAAACCCTCTATTTATTTTTTGGGAGGAATTAGCAATTCTCCTCTTAAGCTCTTATAAAGCTAATCACCGTGTTAGTAAATGAAAACTGTCTTAACTAGGACCTAGATTGCCTTTCAAATTTTAAACTTATGAGATTTATAGAGTAAATAGATGATTTTATTAAAAATAAAGGATGAATTTATATTTTTACTTTTCTCAGGGATAGATGCGGAAGGGCAACCTGGAAGGACCAAAGAGTTCTTTGTTGTCTGTAATATCATGTAGTTTTGAGTAGGGTGATAATAAGAAATAGGAGAATCTGGATGGGTCAAATGGGTTCTTGTTATCCCTTGGAAATGAAATAAGTAGGTAATTACAAATCTTGAAAACCTTTTTCTCTGTAAAAAGACTCCTCTTTGTGATGTAAATATGTTGGCACACTAAATCAGCAAGTCAGGAAAAGCATTCAAATCAACATTTAGTTACTTCAAACTTTGTAATTTCTTCGATCATTAGGACTATCTATTGATAAACAAAGTATAACTGTTTCGATAAATACAAATTTGTATTTTTTTGTCATGTTGTTAGAGTTGCAATGACAGAATTCCAAAGACTGACATTCTGTTGGGCTATAAAATATTCTATTGAAACTCCAAACTTAATAATTTACATGTTTCTTTATGTATTATGTAAACTACTTTCTGCTCCATAAGAACTATTCAGAATGAATTATCACATATTTCGATATATACACAACTTGAAATCAAAACTTTGCACCGATATATTTCTTTAGTAATGTTACACGTACATGTACAATATGGATGTTTTATATATGTCAGAAAGATTAATAACAATAATGAAAAAAATGTACTCAAAGAAAAAAAACTTAATGCTGTATATTTCCTTAATATTTCACCATTTCAGCTTCTTCAGCAAAAGAATAACTTCACATGTTCTTTCTGCATCTTCTGGTAGCAGTATATAGAGTGCAGTTGTCTTGAAAAAGCTGAAAGGGAAACATGAACCTACGTGTACATGTAGATTTTATGTGAAAAGATCATTTGCTAATGTCATCAATGTGGCAACTGAACCATTGTTTTGCCATATTCAAAACCATTATGGTAATGTTTACTACAGCTCTGAATGAGCTGAGTATTTTGTAACAAAATTTGGCAAGCTCTTAATAAACGTTATAAAGTATGTTGTATAGCAAAACATTTCACAGTCTGGTATGCCAACCACTGGGCTATGCAATCTATTGGGAGTGAAAAAATAAAACTGGTAATTAAAAGGTTCTAAATATATAGATTTCAATCAGGAGATTCCAAGGGTGGAATGTTTTTAATTGTCAACTGTTGCAGGCCACTTGATCAGACAGGTGATGTCAAGGAGAAATTGAACAACGATATCAAGATTGTTATTAATAAATACTTTTGCAATAATTATGGGAGACTTTTCTTTTAGACATACTTATTGAGATTGTATGGTGTCAAATAGTAACAGACTTAAGTGATTAAGGATAGTTTTCTATACCAAAAAAGTCACAGAGCCAACCAGGGATTGTTAAACACTAATGAGGATATGGTTGCAAGCATTGAGGTGGGAGGAGCATTTGGGAATGAGTGATCACTGCATAATTTGGTTTTATGTTTTGCTACCTATTGAGATGAAGTGAAATTTCCTAATTTTCAGAAAGCTAAATTTGAAGTCATGAGATTTTTTATCAGCAAATCTAGATAATGAGTTTAAAAGGCGATGTGGGATAGGTTTGAGAAATTAAAAAACAAAATTAATTTTAATTCACAGTAAGAAAGTTCCTAAAAAAAAAAAGAGGTTTTTAAAGGATAACAAGGAAGATTAGACCTAACTGGCTTACTAAAAGCATAATGGTGAAAATCATCGTATCATTTTCAGTAGCTCAATAGACAGTGGTCAGTTGCCTTAAGACTGGCAAGTTGCTAGTGTTACTCTTAAACTATCTCAAAATGGGTGTATGGGTGATATGAGTTGCCCTGGAAACCAAAAGCCAGAAAGTCTTATATAACTTGTGGACAATGAATCATTAAGTCCTCCATGGTTATCCTTACACATTTAGTGACTTACACTTAAGAAAAGTAAAAATTTAAATTCACTCTTTACATTTCAAGAACTAATAAAATCTCACATTCCTGAAAGTGCTGCTAACTGCAACATATCCCAAATGGCAGTATTATTACTAATACTATTATGTATTAAACTTAAAAATTGTGATAAAAGTTTAGATAATCCCGATCTTTACACATCAAATGTGTCATCTATCAAATCATTTGTAATATATGTGGAGACACACATATATAGGAGAAACCGGAAGGCCTTTCCACAAATGCATCTCAGAACACATCAATGAGCTGTATACACATAACCAAAACAAAACTGCTCCAGCAGAACATTTCCAACACAAACACAGAAAACCAGAACTCATTTAAAGTTTGTATGTTACAAAAAAACAAAGATTTTAAAGAGAGAAAATATATGGAAGCTATACTTATTAAAGAGAAAAATCCAAAAATGAACAGAGACAATGGATGGTACATGTAACCAACACATCATTCACACAACAACAAATTGTATCAATACATTTTACACTTGTTACTTCCAATTTAAGACTTGCTTCCTCTGGAGTACCACACAGTCTTACAATTAGTTTTTAACACTGCTAGTAAATTTTGAATCTTTTCCACTTACTATTTTTTCTTAGCAATTTCTATTTCTGTCTGTGCGTTTTCAGTTAATCATAAAACATATTTTGGTTCTCTTTATTTCTATATTTTATTTTAGTAATATATGCCATATGTTAGTATAGCTACATAATATAAGTATACTATATTAGAACACTAATGAAACAACAATGATATTTTATACATTGTTGGAGACAAGTGCAACAGACTGGAGAGAGGGGGAACATCACAATCAATTTTATAAATTAATGTATACTTGAATTATTTTACTTCAATATCAAACAGATTGTATGTATTAACCCTGAAGAAGCTGTAAATGTGAAACATTGGTAGTAATAAAAAACAAATTTATATACATCTGGAGTGTAAAGGTCATTTATCTAAACTTTTATCACAATGTGTAAACCCCTCCAGTATGTACTACAAACTTTGAAAGAAAACAAACAAATATTAAACTTAGAAAGTTTTTAATGTTAGTGCTTTATACAGCCAACAGGCTAAACCCTTCTTTCATTTCATGGCATATGAAATTTATGTCACCCAACTCCATTTCATTTTCAATCTGGAAAAATATAGCTTTCACTATATCCTAAAAGTAAAACATAATACAATTACAAAAGGGATAGCCTCCACACAAAACTTGGCTGATACTAATTAGTATAACAGCAATAAAGTTACAAGCAGTTTTATTTAGGAGGGATAGTTTAGGCCTAACGTCACACAACGTTAACTATTTCCTTCTATAAAATTCTTCTATTTACTATATTCTTACTTCTTAGTAAACAGGTTAAACCGTACAAATACAAATTCGATTTATCCGGCCGAATTAAGGTTTAGAATTAAACGGCATAGTATTAATATTACTATACAATTACTTTAAAAATGTAACTTAAACATTTTGTTACTATAACCTATCATTATATATACACCTATAAAATCTAGTAATTCTCAAATATCAGTTCAAGTCAGTATTTAATCAAAACCATCACCATACTCACTGAAATTCGGAACTTCAATCAGACATGTTTAAGCCTAAGTTATAAAAACTTTCTTTTCCCCATGCCAACCACCTGTACACATCCGCCATAGCGTAGTTATGGTAGTAATAGTAAATACGCACTACTTGCATGTTGATACAACCTTCTAACCTTCTTTGAACTCAATTTAAAAGCTTGAGGCATAAGTCTGTAAGTATACTAAAAGCTAAAGCAACAAGCGTTGTAAACATGGTAAAACTATAAAAGCAGTTGAGAAGATATTTTCTCCAGTATTTACTTTATTGTTTTTTCGTACCAGCATCTTACAGAAAAAGAACTAACTCAAAGACATATAACACTTTATAAATGTTTGAACACTACAGTATTATTGTTAAAAGTTTCTCTTGCTGCAAGATACATTACACTTTATAGGGAACAGCCTAATCACGTTAGATATTGTAAAAATATAATCCCTCCGCTACCAGTATTTGTAACTCCAAAAGAAATATAAAATTTGAAACAGTATAATTAATTGGATTAGAAAATAGCTTGACTATTTTAATCGGTTCTACATATTCTTTCATGAAAATTTTATCATTTACTTTAAATCAGAAAATCAAACTACAGACATCGTCCTCGGGCAGAACTTGGACAGGAGTATTGCCGTACTTTCTTCTCGAGTTCGATCGTCAAGCGAGTTTCGGGGTTTTTATTTCTATAGCCTGTAATTATATTGCGTCCCAACAGAGTCGATCGGGTCATTCATTTTGACTTGTTTTTAAATTATGGACCTTCAGACTCTTCAGAAACAATTAAAGTCAACTATCCAAAAACACCAGGTATGGTTTATGAAGTTTTTAAATCTTTCTTCATCTTCTTAGTTTTACTAAATCTGAGCTCACAGCTGAAAAGTGAAACCTGTGCGAGCTGAAACTTAAATGAAATAAAGTTTGCATTTTTGTATAACTATAAATATTGCGATAAACTATTGTTAAATACTAACTTAGTTCATACTTCTACTATAGTAATATTACCACTAGTATTAGTACTAATTATACTTGTACTAAGTTATAATTATACTGTTAGTGTTACACTTATAGAATTAGTAGATGAAAATTGAAGTAAAATTATTAAGATTTTGGAGGACATTTTGTGAATACATTTACAATATTATTATTCAAGAAGGGATTTTGAAAATTTATGCCAATTTTATTCTAATTTTAGTAGTATTGTAAGACTTATTTCAAAAGCTGTTTGATATAGATAAACTTATTGGGCTTATACTAAGTTACAGTAATACTAAGTTTAACAAGTTAGTGGGCAAGCCGACGGTAGTATTACTTGTAAGTTGTAGTAGTATTACAACAGCTAGCAATTGCCGAGCTTCTTCTAATATAGCCAGCTGCCTTCGGCAACTCGTGTGTGTTTACGTCAAATTTATCGTACATTACAACAGAGTTTAAAACTATTTTAAACGTTTCAGTTATTACCTTATAATCAGTTTTTCAAGGTTATATTTTTTTGTTTGTTTTCAGTTAATCATATATATTTCTGTTTTTAATTTAGATTGTGGTGTCCAAAATGAGAGACGATCCTCAGGTAAGTTGTTCAATGTTCATACTTATGGCTGTTTGGGTAGATATCGATTTTTCCAGGCATAGAGTTGTACTTGTAGTGAAAGTTGCAGTGCTGCAGAGTGGCTGCATAGGCCAGTTTGTTATTTCACAGTTGCCTAATAGTAATATTTTAAAATCTCGTTTGTGAGAGAATAATTACATTAATCTGATAGCACTGTGATACTTTTGTTTCAGTATAACCATGAAGAAATCAGAATAACTTTTGAATGTCATAACACAACTTAGAGAATGTATTTCAGTTTTGAGAAGATGTAAAGTCATACAGCTTAAGTTAAGGGCACAGAAACTTATAGTTTGAGAAAAACAGATTTTGAGAAGGACTTGAATATACCACAGACAATAACTTGAAGCCTCCAGTTGAATGTTTAACATTTCATTGTGTAGTAAAAGCAGATTTAGAATGTTGGAATTCATTGATTAAAAAATTGAAGTCCCAGAGGAAAATTTATTAATGTTTTTTTTTTTAATTAGGCCTGTTAATTAAGTCAAATTTAAAAACCTGCAATCAGTTTTAGTTTAAATGACTTAATTGATAATTAGTTTGAGAAATATACAAACAAGCACTTATCAATAGTCTTATATTGTTATCTGTGGAACACAGTGAAGTTGAAGATAATTGATTCAAGTTAATGAGTTTGACAAGTTACTTATGAGTATTTTTGTAGAGTTGTATGACAATAGAATTGATAATGGGATCTGATTAACTGGCTTAGAAGGCCTGGAACCAGCCATGAATATTCTTTGGTAGCACTAATTTTCCTTTGTAGTTGATAAAGTTTGGAATGTTTTTTTTTGATAATGTACTATGTACTGAAAATGTAGATTTATAACATTCAGGGAATAAATATTTGATTGGGAAACATTTTTTTAAGCATGAATGGCTATTTGGAGAATGAAAAGTGTGTTTACTTGTGAAACCTTAAATTTCACAGTGAATAAATTTTTGTGTGTGTGTACAAGGATTTTTAGGGTAAATATATACTTACAATAATTTAAGAACAACAGGGGATCTTTTGGTCCACCTGGGCCAGCCTGTCCACTAAACTAAACTTTAAAATAAAGTTAAAACATTCCACCACATCTAAAGGCAACCTATTCCAAAGCCCAAACACCCTCTTAGAAAAATAAGACTTTCTTAGCTGAAGATGATTCCTACCCTGTCAAAATATATATTTGTATTCCCTAGTCCTACCACTCTCACCAATAAGTACCAAAAAGAAAAAAAGATGATGGGTGAACACTATCAATTCCATTAACAATCATAAAAACCTCAGTAAAATCTCTTCTAACTTTTCTTTTTTCAAGAGAAAATAATTTCAAATATCTTAACCTGACTTTGTAAGACAACTTTTCTATCCTAGGTGTCATTCTAGTAGCCTTCCTCTGAACCTTTTCATTACCTCCACATTGGCATGTTTTCTTTGGCCTTTTCCTTACACATGTGGTTTCTCTGTTGTTGGGATCTTCTGGGGAGAGATGCTGTATTGTCTCAAGTTCAATTATCATCTACTTATCTTTGGGACTTACATATGGCCCTTTTTCTCCAATGGTCTGTTTTTGAGGATATTTCTGAGACTTTATAATCCAGTGTAGAATCTGTGAGATTGTCGATCATTTGTCTCGTTTTGAGTCTAGTCAATCTTCTATTACTGTTTCCTGTCTCTCATTCCCAGTCTTTACCAGTTCCTACCTCTAGGTATTCCTCCACTCATCGTATTATTCGATGTAGACACGTCACCTACAGTACCGGTGATTACCCTGTGGGTTCTGGTCCAGTGGGGACTTGCTTGATCTCATCCTTCTCCAGGTTGTTTGTGTTACCCAAGAAAACTGGACACTGGTGGCATGTGATAGATTTATCCCAGCTCAATCAATTTTTGGTTCTGCCTCACTTTACCATGGAGCCTTTTCTCACTCTAAGGTGGGCCTTTTCACCAGGTCTATGGATGACCAAGATAGATGTCTCAAATGCTTATCTGTATATTCCTATATTATGATGTTCGAGGTACTATATTTGGTTTTTTCATTACAGTGTAGTGTATCAGTTTTGTACCCAACCCTTTGGGCTTGCTTTGGCTCCGTATGTCTTTTGTTGAGTGGTCAAGGCTTTTGCCCAACATATGCATTCTTGAGGGTTGTTCTTACACTATTACATGGACGACTGATTTCTGTTAGCTCATTCCAAATGGGAGTCTGCCCATCACACTCATCTGCTTCTTTTGGAGACATCTCATGTGGGTTGGTTAATCAAGTTGGAGAAGTCATTCCTTATACCTACCCAATATCTTGTCCACTTGGGCATCTTTTTCAACACTCATCTCAGTCGGGTCCAACCTTCTCCTTTTTGACTCCATTTAATGGAGCTTTCAGTTCTCCACACCCTTACTGCTCCTGAGGTACTATCACTTTTGGGGATGTGGTCTTCTCAATGGAACCTTGTGCCGGACCCCTTGGATGCTCCTATTTTCCTTTCTTCTTCCCTTGATGACAATCTGCATTGGTGAGTGGACATGTAGGTGGGTGTTCCACTTCCACCCCCTCATCTAAATTTGTATATCTTCATGAACACTTCAGGTGAGTGGTCTCCGGCTGAGAGCTTGTTGTATGTTATGCTTTGGATCATTTTCTTCATCTTGTCTGGTTATGATCCATTTTGACAATTTTACGGTGTTTGTTTATATCAATCACCAAGGCAATACCCATTCTCATTCCCTTTTTGGTCAAACCTTGGGTCTCCTTTTTTTGGATCCACATACTCAGTATTTGTTTCCTTGCATGTCATGTTCCGGGTGCATTCAACCTTGTCATGGATCATCTTTACCAACTGGACAAAATTTATTTAATGGAGTGGTCTCTCAATCCTCAAGTTTTTCAGTTGTAATGCCTTTGGTAGAGTACTCCTTACCTGGATGTTTATCACTGAGGCCTCTAGAATTTTTTCTAGCCTCGACACAAATGAATTGCAAACACAACCGAGTTACATAAACAAACTTTCATAACTATCACCTCTAAAATAATTAACTTTTAACTCTCTTGTTTTGAAAAAACTAAACAATCATGAAATATTAACTCAAAATAAATAATAATGCCTACACTAAACAGTCTTGTATATCCAACAAGCATTTCTTATCATTTTCTTAAGAAAAAGAATTTAAGAAATTTTAAATTATACATGCGAGATAAGCCCCAGGTGGCTCAGCAGTAATTCTAAAGGCTTATAATGCTAAAAGTTGGGTTGTGATAATTGAGGTGGTCAGAACACGGATAGCCCATTGTGTAGCTCTATACTTAACAGCAAAGACCGTATGAGATAATGCTTCTTTCTTTGAAATCATCCTAGTCATCTTCCTTACAACTCCTTTCAATAATATTGTATTCTTTCTTATAGAAGGAGCCTGAAACTGCACTCATTTAATCAAAGTGAGACCTAATTAGTGATTTGTGTGAAGAGATAGTTACCTGTTTTGACTAGTAAGCAGTATGTCAACATATTAAATATAGTAACAGAGTACTCTCTCAATGGCTTTATGACATATCTATCTCTAGCCAAAGATTTACTTATGTAGTCATACACTTGAGTAGATTTCCATCTAAAATAATTGTGTTTCCATATTAAGTACTGTAGTACTTTAACATTCGTAGTATAGATAGAAATACAAAAGAGTGTAATGTCATCAACAAATTTTGCTGGTTTACTAATTATACCCATTCCAATATTATTAATGTCCAGTTATACTAGAGTTCTTTAATAATGACTTTATGCAGGTACTTTTATTGAACTACTTTTCAATCTAATTAACTGCAGTGGTCTTTTCTTTAACCCCCACTGATGAGATATTTTTAGTTAATAGTCTGTGTGGCATCTTATCTAAAGCTCTATGAAACTCTGAGTATGAGTACTTAGTCCAAACCCTCTCCATGGTGTAGAAAACAAGTAACAGATTCAAAAGTTAGGGTGAATCTTATCACTGTATTTAAAAATATGAGGAACATTAGCAACTCTCCAATCCTTGGCACTTGCTAATTGTATGTTTATTTACCAAAAATTGAATCTTTGACCTTTTTTAAAAACCTGAGAAAACATTATTTAGTTTTGGTGCTTTTTCTTTTTACTTTATCAATCTTTTTTCTTACCACCAAGAGATACCATGTTTACTCTAATAAAGGAGCCCTCTTTCTCTGCAGATATCATGCTGTTTCTAAGTATAACTCACTATTTAAGATAAGATATTTAACATAGATGCTAACTAGAGGGTGCATGACGTTAAGGTGAAAAAAAGGCTATAAAAGTAGGCCTAGAATATTTTAAATATGCAGAGGCTTTGGAACCAGGGGTGCTGTAGCACCCCCACTTTTACATATTTGGTACCACTCTTATCTTGGTGTATCCCTGATCTATGCAGATGTTTTCTGTATGGATAATGCTCTCACTGGCCCCTCCATCTTCTCAATGTGGGATTGTAGCTATAAGTGTCAGCGGATGGTAAGTATGTTTTGGAAGTTAACATTTTCCTAAATTGAAGAAGTGATAAAACTATATGAATGAGGTGCTTATGTACAGTACTGGGATAGAGGGCGCATTGATGTTGGTGGAGAGTGTACTGCGAAGGGCAATTGAGTGGAGTATAAAAGACTGGAGCAAGCGAGAAAAAAATTGGACCAATGTTTAGATGGACAAAGATGGAAACCCTAATGGTAGAGGAATAGCTATAAGTGTCAGTGGAGGAAAGTATTGTTGGAAATAAATTTTCAATTTAAGAAAATCTTAATTTTCACTGTTTTGTACATTGTGTCCAGTCTCTTTCTTTGCTTCAAGAACAGTTGAGGTTAATAGAATTCAGGTTCACCCCATAATTCATCTGCTTTGAAAACCTCTTCCTATTTTGCAGCTCCTACCAAACTGTTTACTCTTAAAGGAACGTAAGTGCACTTCATAATATCACCATGGCATTTTGTCCTTCAGTTTTTTTCAATTTAGATACATATTTTGTTTTAATAAAGGCTTATTTAATACAATTAAAAATTAAAATGGCAATATCATTGTACTGTTTTTCTCATTATCCAAAATCAATTTAAACAATAAGTAATTTGTTGGGTGTAATTTACCAACAATAGAAAATTTATCTGTGCTGTCAATTTTTCTGTACAAGAGAATCCTCAAGTAAGTATCCTTTTGGGAGTTAAATTTATAAGATAATAGGTAAACTACATGTGTAAACAGTGATAGATCAGAGAAAATGGAGCTGTAATTTTGCTAGGTGATGTTTTTAGCATTTTTCAAGAAAGGATGTCTTTTGAAGGGAAACAAAGAATCAGTGTTTTATGATAACAGTAGTCAATTTTGAACCAAACATCAGAGAGAAAAGTGGGTTTTTCACAACTTATCTGAGAAGTCCTAGTACTGGGAAGTCAACTAGTTTTGATACAATTATAGTTAGTTTTAGAGAAAAATAATATCACTGCTAATAACGGTTCTGAATTTGTTAGTGGAGGAGGGCAACCATTTGCTAGTGCCTAATCTGAAAATGTATTTCCAAACGTACTTACTTTTGCTGACATTTTCCCTCCCCATTGAGAGCCAGTGTTAGTAATTGGGATGGGGTAAGTCTAAAAATGTGATTATATTGTTGTCATACAGTACCTGCATAGAGGGCGTGTGAGGGCCGGTGTAAAGTTTTGCAAATTAGATATTACTGAGCACAGTCGAGTGAGGTATAAAGACTGGAGCAAGCAAACAGGATGTTTAGGTGTCAAAGATGAAGATTGAGAAATATCTATAAGTGTCAGCAGAGGTAAGTACGTCTGGAAATACATTTTCAGATAGGAAAATGATAATTTAAAAATTTTTTAAATGGATTGTGCTCTTCAAAGGAATAAATATTACTCAATTACGAAAGAGAAATGACCAAAGATTAGAAAATATTATATTAGCCACTTGTTTGTAATCTCCTCATATTCATAAGACATAGAGTGGAAATATCAAATTGTTTTAGAATAAAATTTTCTAAATCCAAAAATTCAACTTACTTTAGAGTGAATAGTATGTGGTACCTTTGCACATGTGCTACATTTTTTCCTGCTAGCTTGTGAGTGGGGTTATGAACACTGATTCAAACATGGTGTACCCTGAATTCTGAATTGGGCCAGCATCACAAATTCCGTTACCATAATTGGGTTCAGCAACTCTGAATAATATTATTATCATCCCAGGATGACTTTTCAGACATGCTTTAGCTCCCCTTGGTGTAGGAAGGCTAAAGCTATCCAAGGGGGTTCTTACCTCCCATAAAAACCATTATGATATATTCCCATGTACCAAGTATGGTCCGTCTAACTTGTGAGTGGGGTATGAACACAGTTTCAAAAACGATGACCCCAGGATCTCACATTCAATGTCCCATTCATGTTTGTTGGCCTTGCAGACCTGTGCCTAGAGTCTCATCATGCTTGGGCTATCTGGCATTTTATGTCTCCCTTGGTAGGGGCCTACACCATGTAGATAAGGACATTTTCAATGCTAAGTCTGCCTGCCTAATTGTTTCTGATAGCTTCAAACTATGGGTCACACACTCAACACAAATTCATGTAGGATGAAAACGGAATTCTATCATAATCATTCATTGAGATGTCCCTTATCCCACCTTTATGTATTGGAATACTAATGATAAAATGTATCACTAAGTACAGTTATATTGTTTTAACTTGACATTACACTATTAATCGATTGAGAATTTATGATTATATTAATCATTCAATGATTCCACATTATGTTTGCTTAGTTTATACATATCCTGTTAATGTCTTTCAGAGTATAGTTCTTCAGAAACACCTACATGATCTTCAAAGTGAAATTCAGAATCTGAGTGAAAAACAGGTATGTCTATTATTCAATTATACTGAAGCAAAAGTCATCCAAGTTTTTAATAGAAGTGACAAGATTTTATAGGTCTATAATTTTTAAACTATGTAAATTAAATTAAAAATTATAAGAATTATATGCAGAAGGTGGAAAAGCTTCCTTTCATTGAATATTTTTTAGTAAAATACACACTTAACACTTTGGTAATTTGAGTGTTAAACAATAACTTATATTTATACAGGGTTCTTGCATTCTCTTTGGGGAGGAATTTCTGAGATAATTCTTCTCTGCATTTCTCTATTCTAGTAAATATTTCTTTAATACTGTATGACCTGAATTACTGCCCTAACCATACTACATACTCATGTTCAGCAGACTGCCTGTTAGGTAATAGTTGGTTGAGCGGTCTTACATTCCCCCAATCTATGTGACACTAGCATCAAGCAGAAGGTTCTTTTGACATTATCTTTCACTCTACTATATTTATTGAATAAAGAGTATTTATTTTCTTGTATGAAAATGATATGGTTTCCCACCAAGTGATGCCACACTAGGTCTCCCTCCTCCAGTGGGTGACACACTGCACTGGTTTTTCCTTTGTAATGGTATAATTTCAGAAAGTAGTTCATATTTTTAATTCCTTTATCTACATCGGCCCCTCCACCATCTTATCAGTGTGGTATTCTAGCTAATAGCTCTTTATAGAAAATGAATAGCATTTGTAAAGATAACATTTTCATTATCTGAAATACAAATTTCAGATAGATACTAACCTCTCCACAGAACCTCCCTGATTTTGGTGTTTTTGTTTTACTTTTGCCATGTCAAGAGTGAATTTCTGTTGAAACACTAGTGCCCATAAAGAGGACATGTCACATTCCTATTAGTGAAGGACTATAGTCTAATGATGATTACATCACAGGTTTATGCAGTCCATGTTAATATGTGTAGAGGTAGGATTTCATTCAAGACTTGTGGCATGTGCAAAAATAATCTTGGCAGAAGTGTGAAGTAATAGCTCTTAGTTCTGTAGAGAGGTATCTATATATTTTAAGGTGAGAAGAATGTTAATTGATTTTTTTTTCTGTTCTTATATTGCTATTGCCCAGTTCTTCTGAATAATGTGTTATTGTAGCTACCATATATGCTTGTATGCATAACCATCTACATCGTTTCCACACATTTTTTAAAGATATATAATATATATTTAATGTATAAACATAAAACATAAAGAAATATAAAAGTAATGTCATTCTATTCATTCATTCAAATTTTATTTCAATATATCACTGGTTATAATGACTTGCTCTCAGATGACTCTCCACATACATTTGATGCTGGCTACACCACAGTTAGCATATTTGATACTGAACATATATTTAAAAACATAATGCATTTAGAAAGAGCTTTAGTTTTAGGCTTTCAAAGTATATGTACTTAGATAATACTTTAGTCTCCAAACAGTATTATAGTTAGCCAAATGTTATTCCAAAACAAGATAGCTTGAAATTATTCTAAAAAGTAATGTTTTTAAAAGAAGAAATTTTAGTTTTAGGCTTGTGTTTTTACACAAACTGGTGCATATTTTGTCCTAATCATGATTTTTTTTGTATAATTATAGAATTTTGTCTGAAATTCTACAGTTTTATCCATTTGAAAATGATGCTCTGAAAGTAAAGCACTACAAATTAGGATCACTAGATACCAAGAAAAAATGCTGTTTCTAAAACATGGTACTTTAAGCATTTTTAGATGGTTAGCAGAATCTGCATCAGAAATTTAAGCATTACACTCTAAAGGTTATTTGCTTATGAGGATTAAATTTTTATGTTTTTATTTGAATCTTGTAATGCAGTTGTATTCTGTTATACTAAAAATGGATACCATTCGTGCACATGTTCAACTAGTAGAACTAAAAATAGGCAGTAGCAGGTTACTGTGCTTATGTTTTGTTGCAGATATAGCACATAATAAGCTCAATTGCTCTTGGTATGCATGAAAAATACAAGCCATTTTTTTTGTCAGTGTCAATCAGAAGAAGTTTGTTACAGATTGTTGATTGTTTTTGGTCTTCATTTTTTTCTTTATGTTTTGGGGGGATCATTCCAGAAACACATACTTTTAGATCTAAATAGAGATCATGCCAAATTTGCATCAGTTTGGACACATAAGTGTAATTACCCAAATCCTCAATACACAATTAATTGTGATAAATTGGGCATTCTCCATGTTTCAAAGATTATTTACCTGAGTTAATTTGGCAAACCGTTTTTCACCATATTTTTAATTATTCCCCAAATTAATTTGCATGTTATCATGTATTACAATTAGTACTCTGTATATGGCATTGGAGATACTATTTGTGTTGATCTCTGTCAGATTTATTTTGAATTATGTCTCATAAACATGAGATAAAAGCATTCATTTTCTTTACTGTAGTTTTTAGTGAAGTAATATATATCACGTATAAACCCAGATACATAACATTTATTTATCAAGTATATTTTGTGTTAAAATATAATAACAGATGATAAAAGAACCTTTGTTTTATTAATATATAAGTAAAGACTATAAAAAATGAAATTTTTGAGCTCATTTCTAACAAAGGTTTGACACAGAAGGGGTTAATTGACAGTCATTCATGAAGCTGCTAGAGATTACATCATTCATTATTCAGCAGAAATCACCTGTACTTCTCTGTGAAAGATAAATAATACAAATTCTTGAATGGAAGTACCCAAGCTATTCCAATAATTGTAAATAGAGAAAAGCATTGAACCTTTCACATTTTTTTTCAATATTTTAATCTACAATTATTGAGGTGGAACTAAAAACTACAATGCAGGTACCAGAAAAAATTGTTACTGTTTTTAGAATAGGAATTTCCATTTCGAGTTGAAAACTTCTAATAATCACAGGTGTTTTTTAACACCTGCCACATAAGCCAGACCAGCATATTTTTTGTACTAAGCCTAGGATGGTCAACAGGGAAATCATTCAAGAAACCAGTTAGTTAGGATTATTTCAATTGATCTTGATCAGTGAAGCTTAGCACAACTTCTTTCTTGTGTACAAAAGCCTTGTAATATTTATCAATAACTTGCAAAATTTGATAAAGATATGCACATATTATCAAAAAATCATAGTGTAATTATAGTCATGGATACTTTCATAGTTACGAGCTAGATGGATTCGACCCAGCCTGTAATGGAAAGGTTAAAGAAAAGCATTACATATATGAAATATTTAAACTGACTGCAATAATGGAAAACTTAGAGGACTATGCAAGAGCAAGAGAGTT